ACTACTACTATCTCTCTCTCTCTCTCTCTCTCTCTCTCTCTCTCTCTCTCTCTCTCTCTCTCTCTCTCTCTAATAAACACAGATAGCAACACAATTATCAATTATCCTTATTATTAATTTATTCTAATTGAATATTCGATCAATAAATTTCTTCCGTTCTAATATTTACAAATTCCTGAATCATATTTATTTTTATTAAAGAATAAAAATTAATCGCTTCATTCTTTACCGAAAAAAATTCCTTCTATTATATAAAAGACAATTAATTTCCTTGTATCAAGATGTTAAGATTTGAATCTTATTCCTTCAACAAAAAAAAAAAAAAAGAAAAAAAAAGAAAAAAAAAGAGAGGAAAAAAATTACTTGACGCATATATGCGTAGTCCTTAGCGTAGATAAATTAAGGTAGTTTCCACGGGACACATTCTGACGTGGTGTCGCATTTGAAGGTCTTATGTGCACAGGTGAAGGTGGTTAAGTTCAGCTACATGTGGACGATAAATAACTTCAGCTTTTGCCGGGAGGAAATGGGAGAAGTGCTAAAGTCGTCCACCTTCTCAGCAGGGGCCAACGATAAATTGAAATGGTAAGATCCGGAAGTATAAGCTCGTTTCGTCAGGCGTATAACACGAGTTTGAAAATTGAACACAGAAAGAAAATTACTTGGCAAAATTATTTAAGATTCTTTGCATTGCATACCAAACTGTTCTTCTTGATATAATTAATTAAAAATTTTTAATTTCTATGTTGTTATAATAGGTAATCTTTCAATTTCAATTTTTTCTCTTTCAATAAACAACGAATTTTTATTATCTATAATTTTTTTGTTCTATATCTAGTTACTTAATTTTTTATTTCAACTTTGCTTCAAGTTTTTTATATATCTATAAAAAATCTATATTCTCGTTGATATTTCTCATAGGAAAATTATTAACAATAAATTAAATAAGTAAACGGTATCAAGTTGAATTCGAAATCATATCAGATAAATTTATATTGATGATAAATTGATTTTAGGTGCCTAAGAGTGAATCCTAAGGGTCTGGATGAGGAGAGCAAAGACTATCTGTCGCTATATCTCCTTCTCGTTTCGTGCAACAAATCCGAAGTCAGAGCAAAGTTCAAATTTTCTATTCTTAATGCCAAAAGAGAAGAAACCAAAGCAATGGGTAAGTGCTAAACACATGAAACGGATGCAATGCAGGGTATTTTAAAAATTACAATTAATATCAATAATTATAGATATTATAATATCATATTATAACATTACATTATACAATAAACGTATTGAAAAATAATTTTTTAATTATCATATATATATATCTGCATGTGCATCTATATTTTTCGCTAGTCATGCAAAAATATATGTATGCATTCGTGTAGCAAAGAAAATAGCTCGTTAAATATGCCGATTTTAAAATAACAATTAAATCATCCTTTTGTGATGGAATTTTATAACAAAGATCTTGGGGAAAAAATTCAAAATTCGTAATAATCTGGGTTTATTTTTTTAAAAAAAAAAAAAAGATATTTCATTCAAAAATGGTATAAAAACAATTGGTAATTTTATACTTTCAGAGAGCCAACGTGCTTATAGGTTCGTCCAAGGTAAAGATTGGGGTTTTAAGAAGTTCATTAGGAGAGATTTCTTATTGGATGAAGCCAATGGACTCTTGCCCGACGATAAACTCACGATATTCTGTGAGGTATATACCTTTGTATGTTAAATACTTAAATATTTGTATGATTCTCTAACGTTTATTGTGAACGAGAAAAAAAAAAATCTGTAATTCGATAATAAAATATTACAGGTCAGCGTAGTGGCAGATAGCGTGAATATTTCCGGACAAAGTAATACTATACAATTCAAAGTTCCAGAATGTCGATTACCGGATGATTTAGGACTTTTATTTGAAAACCAAAAATTCAGCGATGTCACGTTGACAGTATGTGGGAGAGAATTTCAAGCGCACAAAGCTATTCTCGCGGGTATGACAAATTATATTTTTTTTTATATTTTTATACCATCCTCAATATTCTATCTATATTGGGACGAAAAAATGGATGGGTCATTTTAATTTGTAATTTTATTGTTTAGCACGAAGTCCTGTTTTCTCGGCGATGTTCGAGCACGAGATGGAGGAAAGGAAACAAAATCGCGTGGACATCACCGACGTAGACCACGAAGTGTTACGAGAAATGTTACGATTTATATATACGGGAAAGGCAGCAAATTTGGAAAAGATGGCGGACGATTTACTAGCCGCAGCGGACAAATACGCATTAGAAAGGTTGAAAGTTATGTGCGAGGAAGCATTATGCACAAGTTTAGCAATCGAGAACGCAGCTGACATTCTAATTCTTGCTGATCTTCATAGTGCTGATCAACTTAAGGCACAAGCCATAGATTTTATTAACACGTAAATATTCATAAATGTTTAAAACGAATTTCATTCAGAACGAGAAAAAAATCTATCTAGTAGTGGATAAAAACGAAAACAGATTTTATCGTGAAATATTCTGTTATATACATATAATCTCCTACATTGATTGATAAAAGAGAATAAATTTTCCTATCGTTCTATTCAATATTTGTTCCAGACATGCGACAGACGTAATGGACACAGCAGGTTTTAAATCGATGGTGAACTCTCATCCGCACCTCATAGCGGAAGCGTTTCGGGCATTAGCCACTCAACAAATTCCACCGATCGGACCGCCCAGGAAGCGGGTGAAACAAAGCTGAAAACAATCACCGCTGACTCCGGGCACAACCTCCACATCGCCCCCGCCTATTTTGCATCCCTCATGACTTTTTTGTGTACAGTGATACAAGTAGTGCTAAATAAATGTTTCCTAGTGCGCCATTCTCTGGCCCACTTAAAAAGGAACTGCGACGAGAACTGGTTTCTTCATGGTTTTCGACCTAAATTTGTATCGTTCAACAAACAAGATACATTGTGCAGCCGACTCGAACGGCAAGGCGGGAAACGCAGTTAACTTATGGCTATAGACTTTATTGTAATTTGGTGAAATCGTCGATATTAGAAAAAGAAGCCTATCACAGAAAAGGAACCGAGAAAAGAGTATGATGAAAGATAATCTTTTTCATGAGAAAGAGTTTAAATTATTAAATCGCGTTGGTTTCAATCAGATTGAACGAGATTATTGGTAGTTTGCATTGTGTATATGTTATATTCTCCTGTGTGAGAGGGACATGTGTTTATCCATCGATACGCAAATATCATGTCAGCGATTTGTCAATGCGCATAATTAGGGTCTTGTAATGGATTTGTTTTCGTTTAATAATGATAATAATAAGTGATGAAAACGCGCGAACCATCTATGCATTATGAAAAAGACATCAGAAACAGCCAGAGGACCAAAGGCGAGATTGAAACTCGCTGATTACATTGCTACACACATAACAAACTCACACGCGAAGAAAGAGAGGTATACACGTGATGTACGAAGAAGAAAGTTGTGATAGACGTCAACCAGACAATTAAAAGAAAAAGATTTTGTTCCTTTGTCGAAAATAACGAATCAAATAAGAAGTGTCCCACACGCTTGTTCATCGTGTACACGAGCGACAAGAATAAAATTAGATATGTTTATTACTGATAGTGATTTTTAGTTTTAAATGAAAAAAGAAAAAAAAGAAAGAAAAATGAAATCGTCGAATTCTTCCAAGAACGGAGAAAAAATGATTCTAGTTAGTGTTTTTTATGATCTCTTTCTCTCAACATGTACGACTACTACGATTACTATTAATGCTACGCAATCTGTGCCCCCGTATTTTTGTATATTTTTTGTCTGCAAATACCTAAATCCTATCCTCGATGCGGCCTTTTTCTCTATTTCCCCTTAATCCCCATTCCCATTCCCTTGTCGCTAGGCACAGTTTGTTTTGTTTTCTCGAGTATTGCATAGTAGACGAAGTGATAGATTCGAATTATTATTATTATTATTGTTATTATTATTTTTATTATTATTACTATTATTATTGCTATTATTATTATTATTATTATTATTACTATTATTATTATTATTACTATTACTATTACTATTATTATTATTATTATTACTATATTATTATTATTATTATTATTATTATTATATTATATTGTATTAAATTTAGGGTTGTCCATAATTTATCAGATTTTTATGTTAATTATTATTGAAATGTCTATCATGCTCGCAGGATACATGTATTAATTAAAAATATTGCAAGAGTTTCATTAAATGAAAAGAACGAAATCAAACAGATGTTGTTAGAAAAAGAAGAAATGAACGTTAAACGTAAAACAAAACAAAAAAAAAAAGGAAATTAAAAACACTGTATAATATAAAAAGTTAGTCAATTATAATATGAGAATATTAATCGTTTTTGTGTAATTAATTATCAAAATCGCGAAATTGTGTGGTCAATGATCTGAATTATGGGCAACCGACAGAATACACGAAACAATAATCATCATTTAGTACCGTACTGGCTTCCTGATCCTCCGACCTAGCTTTACCGAATGTTTTAAATACAAGATATAAATACTTACCATTACAAAGGAGTAATGATATCGAAGATTTAATGCCATACATGTTCTGTGATAAGACCACTGTAATTAACCGCAATTGTATCACAACCTTTCTAGAACTTTCTGACGATCCTGGCAGCCAGTGAATTTATCTTTTAAGGAAACGGTCGCTATATCCGGACAGTCCCAAATCTAGCGTCCCTTTCGATTTTAAGGTTTTTACTGTACATATCTACTGTATTTTATAAGAACTGAACCGAAACGGAACTATACTTTTAATGAAGGGTACAATAATCAACTATAATTTATTCTATTTTACAGACTGTGCTAAACTCATGTTCCTTGAAACACACTAGCAATGCTTTAAGTAAATGTAATGTAATTATGACAAATTAATACGATTAGATTATATATATGTGTATCTCGTTTTTGATCTCGATATGTACATGCATTTACGCGTATCGTCTATCATGACGTTGTAATGTATTTCTGTCGAGATTAAAAGTATAAAAAAAAAAAAAAGAAAAAAAAGAAAAAAAAAAAAAAAAAAACTAACCTATGGAAACATAGTTAGGGAAGATTTTCCACCGTTTTTTACACGATGTTTATTTCAGTCGTAGTAGGTTGTTAAGGCTTACAAAATAAAAACAAAATAGAGAAATGAAAAAAGAGGAAAAAATATAAAGAAAATATAAAATATTGTAAGCAGTTTAAGGAACAGATTTTGGCCATGTGTGCTCGCTCAGATTTTAAAGATGTCAAAAAAAGAAAAGAAAGAAAAAATTGTCTACGTCCATTCTATTATCCATGTTCTATCTTTGGGACTGTGCGGCGAAAAAAAGTATCTCATGAAACTCGTAATATTGAATGTCTTTTTCCTAAAAACGAAAAACTAAATATTTACCGTACAACAGTTCGAGAAATATTAGATGCAATTCTTTTTGAACCAATCTGCATGAGCGTATGACTGGATAATTTGATAAACTAAGTACAAGTAAGACAAATGTTACCTCATCATGAAAATCAGCATGGTCGTGTCGCACTAGCTACTACTGCGCTGCTGTCTGATACACTTCCATTGTATATTATTGCATTTAAACTCGAAAAAAAGAAGCTTTTTGTAACGAATAGTTCAGCAGTGGTAGCTTTTTGAAGTACATGACTGCTGTTCATTGAACCCAGCTCATATAAACGTTCATTTTTCCATTTACTTTAAGTCATTGCACCACATCAAATAAATGACATTTTCATTATATAATCATGAGAATTTTACGTGATTTTCATTATCCCCAACATATCTCACTAATTTTATAATATATTTCAAATTTTAGCAAATTTTAGCAAATTAAAAATATCAAAAGATAACATTATTAAAAACAATAATATCGATTGAATTATGAAAATAATTCATATTGTTTACATTAGATAAGAATCTTATTTACTTATTTACTTCATTTTTTTTTATCAATTTTTTAGTTATCAAGTTAATTTTTTTCATTAAATTAGATCAAAATAGATATGAGAAACAACACATTTATAAATATTAAATATGATTAGTAATCGGATTTGTTTGATCATTCCTAATATTTGATATTTGTTGAGATACCTTCGAAGTTTCTGGATAAACTGGTGGTGCTTCAAGCATAGAAATCTGGAGAACATAAAATAATATTACATAATAAAATTTTTAAGATTTTTATCTGTCATTACTTGATAATAATCAATTTTCTAATATTAAAATATTAGAAAAGATTACAATATTTAATATAGATTGGGATATATAAAATTTTTTTCTATTCATTTTATTTCTGTTCCTATATTCTTTTAATTATCACATTGAAAATAGACATACTTTATTGAAAGGAGTTTCATAAAGAGGAGGTGCACTACAAGCTTCGCTATAAGATGGTGGTCTATCCATTAATGGTCTAACTATTGAACAGTGCTGTGGCCTGGAATCTGTATTGCAATCTAAATATCTCATGTTATGTATTATGTAAATTTTTATTAAATATATAAAAGCAACATTAATAATATCTAATTTTGTTAATTTTAAATAATTTTAAAGCTATAAAATATATCTTTAAAACTATTTTTTAATTTTAAATTTCAAATAAAATTGGATTATATTAAATTATTAAAAATTCATATCTGTTATAGTACAATAAAATTACGAAAAAACATAAAAATACTAATAACAGAAAAATGATCACAATCATTTATGATGATTATAATATACTATAAATATACAATTTTTATTTCTGTAAAAAAAATTATAGTTGACATTTAAAAAAATTCTATGATACTATAAGATATATAAATGAAAGAAATTATAATTACTTACAATAAAAATTTATAATCAAATATATATACTAGCATGGAACATTAAAGTGCCCCAGAAACAATTTAAAAATATAATAAATTTATTATTGTTATTTTGATACTTATGCACATTTTTGTTCCAATTATTTAAATAGCTTTCATTTTTGTTATATTGCAAACTATCAGCAAAAAATGATAGTAATGTTTAATTCTATACAAAAACACTTTTTTATTATAGATATAAGAAAAAATGCTTTAACAAAATAAAATTCAATACATACCTGAATACTTAAATTCACTATGAACATTAGTTATAAAAAAAATGTATATAATTGAAAATTTATAATTAAGACATAGCAATATTATATTATTTAAATATTAATAAATTAATAAATAAAAAATGAATCTATAATTTATTTCACATTACTGATTTTCAATTAAAAAATTTTATTGCATAATGATTTTTTAACGTTCAGATTTTAATATTTATAAAAAACAAATATTGTAAATTTTTAACTTTTCACAAATAAGTAAACATATTGTTTTAAGTTTAAACATTAAATATATCTTGCACATATAAAAGCTATTATCTTATCAGATAATATCACTTTGATAACATTACATACAATCAATATTTTAATCATTTTCCTGATTGACACTACTCCTTAACATATTCTCATTAATATATCTTTGAAAAATGATATAAATAGGTAAATGAATAGAAAAAGTGAATATATATATGTGTGTGTGTGTGTGTGTATATATATATTATGTATATATACAAAATGATGTAGAATATATTTTGTAATATACATGAATAAATTATTAATAATCCGAAGTTATAACAATTCCTAAGACCATATAATTTACAATAAAATGAAGACTTATGTAAATATCTGTTTGAAGTTGATGCTGTACAATCAATTTGTTAAAGTAATTAATGCTTCTACAACATTTCCCCTATGTTCTCTGAGTGTTTGTTCTGCTACATTTCGATTTATTTCCATTTCTCTCATCTAAAATAATATAAGTGTTTTAATAATTAAACAAAATTTTTAACATATAAATGAGCTAATTAAAAAATAATAATAATAATTATAATAATTCTTACAATAAGATCAACATCTTCTTTTTTAATAGGAACTTTTAACAATTCCTTTTCTCTTGCCTTTTTCTCCGCAGCTTCTTTATTCCGTCGATCTCCGATTATACTTAATGCCTTTGATAGAAATAATTATGATCAATAATTTTATATATATAATTGTATATATAATTTTTTGTAGGTTAGGTTTTAAAATTACATATTCTTAAGTGAAAAATTTAAAAATATAAATTATAAATATTAAGAAAAGTAACAAAAAAATTAATTTTGAATTTAAAGAATATGAGTTTTCATCATTGCCAAAAAAAAACTTAGTAAACATTGTTGACAATCATAAACACACGTGGAATAGATAAAGGATAATATGAATACTTACGCAAGAAAATCCATCAGATGAGGATATTTCTTTTTCCTCTGCATAATCTGTAACTTTTTCTAAATCTGCCGCACCACTATCATATTTTGCTGCTTTTTTCTGTGATTTCTCTTGTTGTACTTCATCAGAATCACCATTTACATCGTTATCCGCCATTTTTCCTTTTTTTAAAACGTACTTCACATTGTGTAGATAATTATGAACTATATATGATAACTTCACGTTGAAATCTAATAATGTCTATATGTTAAATTTCAGTAATTTAATATCATTAATTGTTATAAATTATAAGACGTTGATTAAGAAATATTATTTTTTATAAATCTTAGCTGCTTTTAATTTTGTACAACATAAATTATAATTTAAATCATTGTAATATCATTATGAAAAAAATTTTTTTTTTAATAAAAATTATTAAAATATATTTATTAAATATAAAATCTTAAATATAAAAAATATCGTAAATTATTCATCTACAATAAAATTTTAATTTTAAATAAAAAATAAATTGTTTAAAAAATCTAATATTCTTAATCCAAATATTTTAAATAAACAAAAATAAAATTAAAAATAAAAGAAATAATAAAGAAAAAAATGAAAATAAAATTTAAAACATATATGTATATATAATAAAAATCATAATACAAAATTATAAAAAAACTTATTAAATATACAATTACATATATTTTTTTAATTAACAAATATAAATAATCTAAAAATATGTATACTTATTTCTCATTTCTCATTTCAACTTTTAATGTTTCAAATCATAATGTTCAGTTAAAATTATATTGCGCGCAAGATTATAAAAAAATAGCGATATATATTTAGACATCTCAATTTTATATTATTGAATAATAAAAATTGAATTTTTTTTTCATAAGATATCAAAAATTAATTAGAGATAATAGAAATTATATAAATAATAAAAATAATAATATAAAATTTTGTTTAGATAAATAATCGAATAAAATTATTATTTTATATCATTAATTTTAAATAAAATAATATTTTATTAAAATAAAATAAATTGATGTTACAAATTATCGTCAGTTTATCTATGACGTGTAAAATATAACCTAATAATTATTGAATTAACATAAATAATTATTTTTATTTACTGTGAAAGAAATATTTTGATGTTTTTTTTATATTTTATTAGAAACCTATTAACAAATTTATAATAATGACCGAAGCATCATTTAGTAAGCCAACAAATGATTCACCATTTTTTCGAAACGAACCTGTAAATTACACGACTGGTATATTTCAATTTTTTATAATATTTTTATATTTTATATTTATTTATATTTTTATTTTTAAATTTTTTATGAATGAGAATAATATTTTATAGAAATTCGTCAAATGATGCATGGATTTGGAGACAGTAGTGAACCATTAATTGAATCTGCAAAAATTGTAGAAGAAGTTGTTTTGCAACAAATGAGAACAATAATAAAGAAAGCTTGCGAAGTTTCCGAAAGACGAGGAAATTCAAAAAAAAATATCTGTGTTTCTGCAGAAGATTTAATTTTTTTATTACGTAAAAACAAAATAAAATTGCAGCGACTTATAAAATATTTAGGCAAGTTTGATCTCAATATTGTAAATTAAAAAATTTTATTTTTTGCAATGTTCTTTTGTATCTCTTATTCTTTGCACATATTTTTATTTAATTATATTTTTCAGACTTAAAACAATTTAAAGCTTCTATACACAAAACTATAGATAGTGATTTGCCTGAAGATATTCTGGAAAATGAAAATTTAAATGGATCCAAAAATAAAGGACCACTTTATAATTTTCTTAATGAAATTAACAACACTGGTGAACTTCTTGAAGATGCATCTACTATAGATGAAGTTAAGCAACAAAGATGTGTTCGTGCTGAAATTATGACAAGATCTATGGATGAAGCTAGATATTTGAAATTTAGTAAAGCACGTAATGCATCATTTGCAAATAAAAATCGACACAAATTTAGTGACTGGATAGCATCAGAAAGTAAGTTTTGTATATTATGAAATATCATATATTTTATAGTTATTTCTATCTATTTATCAAATACATTCTAATATCATTTATAATATAATTACATCATATTTTATCATTTTAGGTGATGTAACAATATCAAAACAAGCATATACAATTTTGGGTTATTTAGCATATGAAACAGTAGCACAAATTATAGATTTTGCATTATTAGTAAGACAAGATCAAAATAAAATATTTGGAGATGCAATAGATCGACTAAGACTTAGTTATGTTAATCCTTATACTTACAAACCATATTATCATGGCAAGGTTTGTAATATTATATCATATTGAATATAAAAAAAATAAAGGAACATATTATTTTTTATTTTTTAAATAATTAAGCAGGTAGCTGTAACAAAACCAATAACACCTGCTGAAATAATTGAAGCTCTCAGACGGTATTGGTCTCCTCAGTTAGATATGACTGGTCCATTTAATCGTTGGTCCATGAAAAAATCACATTTAAAACTTCTATCATGTTAAGATAAATAAGCAGGGTAAGAATTAATTTAATTATAAAAGAAAAGTATATGTCTTGTATAAAAAAATTATCAGTATTTTATATTAAGTTAAATTAGAATATAGAGATATTTTAAAATTGATCAATATTTATTGACAAATTCCTGTACCCCTTACAGATATAGTTTAGATTTCCAATATTAGATGTACACATTACTACTTAAATTATTAGTTAATTTTTTTTTTTTTTTTTTTTTTTTTTACAAAATCTTCTGATTATGTATCCTAATGTGTCTTATATATATATATATATATTTTTTTTTTTTACAATTATAATAGTTTCTGTACATTTTACAATTGATAGTCCCTGATTTCATTTTAAAGATAGGATTATAATACATTTAACTTTACGCTAACGCACGATACGTTTGCATTCATTGTACTTTTCATAAAATATTTGGATTTTTCCTTCAAAGTATCGTAAGATACTTTAAATTTACTTTTAAATGAGATACTTTTAAGTTTCATTATGCAACATAATGACTAAAAAGTTTTTTTTTAACATTCATTATACTAAATATTTAGTATCTACAAATTTGAGCTAGTCTTATAAATTTTATATGATATTTCATGAATTCACACAGATACTAATTTTGCTTCTGTATCATGGTGAAAGCAACGTCGATACACGTACTTTTCCTTCTGCGCCACCAGTTATACAAGTTCCGGATTGATTGGCAGTAGACCAGTCACAACACAGTGTACCTTTATGTCCGCCTAATTCTAAAATTTTTGCTTGTGTACCTGGTGGCATCTGAAAATTTATATTATATTTAATATCAAATTGAATAATAAAATTATTAAAGATATTTAATATAGCTAAATAGTAAAAATTATATACTTTATATATATTTCCTCCAGTTTGTGTACAAAGTAGCATATAGTTTCCACTTTGATCAAAAGTAAATAATTTTCCATGAACTGTATTTTTTTCTACTTTAATTTTTGTTTCCCATAAAATCTTTCCTGAATGATTTAAACTTCTTTGACAAAGTTTTCCATCCTCACTTTGTGTACAAATGTTTGTGTAATCATTAATTAATTCTATATCAATAATTGGACTTGCATGACAACTTATATTATCAATAATTTCGTTTCTTCTTAAATCATGTATTAAAATATTTCCATTGGATAATCCCGTAATAAGAAGTTGCCCATTATGATTAAATGCAGAGCATAGTGCAATTACATTTTGTTCCATTGGCAAGATTCTTTCTAACTTTCTTGTTTTTATATCATATAATAATAATTTTCCTTCATTTGAATCAGATACAGAACATACAAATGTCGATTCTGTTGGATTGCATAATAAAGTAATGATTCGAGAGTTCTCGTGTTGAATATCCCATAAAGTTTTGTAATCACGAGTATCATGTAATTGAATTAGGCCATTATTATCTCCATGTAAAAAATATCGTTCATTTTTCGATATCCAATCTAATGCTGTAATAGCTTTATTTGAGTTTGCTGGAGTAGAGACAAATGTAGTGACAGTTCTATTGGATAACAAAAAGTAAAAAGTAAATTTAGCAAAATTGTAATTACAAAAATTAATATTCTTTTATAATTAATATCTTAATATCTAAATAAATATTCAATATAATTACTTTGGTGATGGTATTGGAGTCCATACTTTAATAATACCATCAGCATCACCTGTAGCAACGTAAGAACCACTTGCATTACTTTTACATTGAATTATTGATGTTTTATGTTCTGTATATTCTTCCTAAAAATAATTTTTTCTTATAAAAATTTGTAAGATATTGTCTATATAATAAATAAATTTATAAATAAAATTTTACCTGACTCAGAAGAATATAAGTGGAATCGATTTTATCTTTAGCTTTCCGTTCGGCTACCGTATCAATAGATGAATCTCTTTTTCTAGAACTTGTTAATCTTGAATCACAGCTAATGCTTCTTTTACTAACAGATTCAGATTTATTAATCGAATTTATTTTTCCTTTTGTATTAGTTCTTTTTGTTGATATTACTTCAGATTCTACAACTTTTTTTGTACTTGTTCCAGGCTTTCTATTTAAAATTGGACTGGAACCGCCGCCTATATTTCTTATGAGATTTCTTAAAGTTTTAGGATTTTCTAATAAAGGAGATTCTCTATTTAAATAAGAAGGAACATAATAACAATCATATTAATAACAATAGGATATTAAATTATTTTTGTTTACGAAATGAAAATATTTACTGTGCTATAATATAAAAGTCATCCATGAGTGGTAATTGTTGAGGAGCTGGTCCTGGATTCACATCCATTACATTTTCTATTTTAACAGATTCGCTTAAACGTTGCTTTAATGCTTCATTCTCTTCTTGAAGACGTTTTAATCTATTTGTATCTTCATCTATTGCAAGCAATGTTGGTTGTGGCATACACTATAATTAACAATAAAAAATTAGACTGTACATTGTTTAATCATATATATACATAATAACATATATATATATAAATATATATATATATAAAAATTATATAATATATATTATATAAATATCATATTTATTATTATTAAATATATATATTTTTTTTTCTACAATTTAAAATAATAAAATTTATAAATGAGAGGCACGATGCAAAATACCTTTCACCTACTTGAAAAATAGTAGCAAGAAAATTATGCAAAGACACTAACATAGTGTCTTGCCACTGTCTACTAAAATGAACAGAATATGCTGGATTGTCTTCAGGATTTTTAACAAATGGTAATGCTGTAAAGATAAAAAAAAAATACAAAATATTTTTTTCTGTAATTATATGAATAAAAATATGGAGGAAAAAAAAAATAAAATATCCTACCAAACCATTCTTTCCATTCTGAATGCCCTTGTAACTCTGGTGTCATTTTTATAAAAAATTCTTGAATCCTATCTTGTTTATTGTTTACTGCTGCATTAACTAGGTACATTTTTAAAACAGCATTCTCTAATTTTCTCACAGCTGGTGTGAAATGACTTTCTAAACGAGAGAACATTCTCATGTCTAAATGTCCCCATAACTCTCTTAAAGATACTAAGTCATAATTATATATGTATTGCATCAATTGATCAACAATTTTATCAACCTGTTAAAAAAGTAATGAAAAATCTTAATTAGAATAAAATTATCATACAGAAATGAACAAATGGCAATAAATTTGTTTCAAATTAAAAAATATAAATACTATAAATAGATCATAAAATATTTTTATATTTTATTTTTATCATTTTCATATTATTATTTTCTTAATTAAATAAATTTTTTACATATTATTTTCATATAGTTTTATCTTTTTCTTTTTTTTAATCACTTTAAGTGCTTACGCGCTCACCCTGAAACCTTTCTCTTTCTCAGCTTTCAAATCGTTATCAAAAGCCTTCAAAGTTTGACTGAAACCCCTAAATAGCAAATATTCCTTGACTAATTCGTCCACATATTGAATATGAGACATTTTCCTTTATTTCTCTTCGAAATATTAACTTTTTCCTTCAATTGACAGTTGTATGTTGTCATCCTTTAGCCATTTTAATGTTTGAATAGGGAATTTTTTTTAACTTTTGACAAACAATGTTACCAATATTAATATTTATCTATTAAATAATATCATTTATTCTAATTTTTTATCTTATATAAAAGCGGATTCTTGAATCTTATCATTAAATATTAATATTCTTAATGTTAATGATACAGTATAAAATGAGATTGCAATTGAATAATTAAAAGTGAATTATATAAAATCATATAAATGTCATATAAATATCATTAATTTTATAATCCTATTATTATTATTAATAATATATTATTATATAATTATTTTCGTCATTATAATTTAATATAAGATTACTAATATAATAAAAATAAATTCCCTATACAATCTGTATTTGAAAATATTAGAAATAATTTTTATTTGCTTATATACTTTTTTTTAATAATCTTAGTAATTTTTTTATAAAGTTGATAAATTTAATAGAAATTTTAATATTATACATTATTATATTATGTTAATACAATATAAAATTAATAAATTAATATTGAAAATTAACTATTATATTAAAAGTTTATTTAAGCAAATAATTACTATACTCAAATATTTCAAATAATCGAATTATTTTTTATATTATTATTATTTTCATAGTAATATTTTAAAATAAAATAAAATCTATTGAACAATTGAAAAAAAATAAATAATTATGCAATATATATGTATTAGGTATTAATGTAATATATCTTATTTTTGAATTAAGATCAAGAGGAACAAAAATATAGTTATATTGGATGAAGTGTCTAAAAGAATTTAAATATTTTATAATCTTTGTATATATAAATATATTATGACAAAAAATTACGTATCATGATGTTTACATATATAATTATAACATAATATATGTAATTATGATATAATTATATATATTATGATATTTATATGTATATACATAAGATAGAATTCTTTCAATTTATTCTTTAATTGCTTTATATCGATATCACTGTTAAATGCATGTGGTTATCTTTTACTTATGAATATGACTCGAAAAATAATTGAGATAAATGTATTAATTGATCAAGATTTCGAATAATCAGAATTCTATAATTACATAGTAAATATGTATATATGTATATATATTATGAAAATATGTATATTATGTATGTATATTAGAATTTGATTCATACATAAATTCGAATTTAACATCGAAAAAAAAAATTTTAAAACATTTCTTATTTTTATTTTTCATTAGTAAATCTGAGTCGATATAAAGAAATAGGTATAAAATAAATAAATCGAAATTATGTCAATTATATATAATATTAATTTCAATGAAGTTTCAATTAATAATGAAGTTTTAATTAATAATTAATAACATAAAATTTACAATATTTTTTTCATATAATATTAATATTAATTCTTAAACATTATTATAACTATAAAATTATTGATAAAATTATAATTTAATATTCTATATATGTTTTAAAAATGTTTTACAAAATTATAAATAACAAGAGAATAGATTCAACGAATTTTTGATAGTATCGTTTTTAATAGAGTATAAAATTTCTTTCTATTTTCTTTCTATTATTGTATTAAACTTTTGTTTACTTAAATCTCATTGCTACATTAAATAATACTTTGCATCATATATCTGGCGAATTATGCTAAATAGTCGTTTTAGAGATATATTATAAAATGAGAATACTTATATTTTTACTTTATTATTAAAGATTAATAATATAATTTTTTAGAAAGAGAAATAATGAAAGTATATTCATATCTCATCTGTGGTCATATAGTAAGAGAAAATATAGTCAAGGAGATAGAATAGTAGAAAAATAAAGATAGGATGAATATAAAAATTTCGATATATATGAATGATTGTGAACAGATTCTGTGATAATAATTTAAAATATTTATGATACGAAAGTCAAGAGCAAAATAATTAAGTTCATGATTATATTCCCATAAAAATAACACTATTTCTAAATTGTCTTAGATGAAATAAAATAAATGAAATAGAATAAATCAAAACAAAAGCAAAAAAGGAAAAAAAAAATGTGATTAAGAATTGACTATCAGCGCCACTTCTTAGGTACCAAAGATATTTCTTCAAAAAATATCTCCTGAATATTTCTAAAAAAATATTTTTTGCACTCAAAAGATGGGATTGTTAATTCTTACATTATCTCTATCCTTTTTCTATTTATTTATTTTTTTGTTTATATCTGTTTCATTTAAGATAATCTAAAGATGGCGTTGATTTCCAATTTTTATTCTATCTCTGTCCTTCTTTCATTATTTTTTCTCCTTGTCTATATTTATTCTACAAAATTTATATGTTCAAGTTTTTATATATAATTAACTTTATTGTCTTTTTTGCCTATTAATTAAAAATTAATAATGTTATATCTCGTAAGTATACATATTTATATATGTCACATATATATATATTATATATTTACATTTTTATATATCATAAATAAATATAATATAATGCTATTTTATATTTTGTATTTTATATTAAATAAATTCATTTTATATATGTCGGAAAGGATTTATATATTATTATAGATATATATACAAATTTATTATTACTATATAAGATATTATAATATATTCGTAGAATACTTTTAGAGAATTTATTTAGAAGGTTAAAACAAATTTAAAAGTTGATACATAAAAATTTTGATTGAAGTTTATTTATTTATAAATAATTGGAAATTGAAAATTCAGCGATCTCACTTTTCTGCATATCATTTCGTCTAACTTCTTCAATTTTTTATCTAACCCACTTCAATTGCTTATAATTTAATAAATAAGTTTTAAGTAATATTTTTATATATCAATTTTTACATATATTTGATTTGATTTCTAGAAATTATCTTGCAAAGAATAATCATATGAATATATTAACATCCTGTATAGATATTTTAGAAATTTGGTTAGTGCATTAGAGATTTAAATATTAAGATATAGGCATCTACATAGAACTATTTAAAAATATTTAATTTATTTATTATTTTTATGATTTTATGTATAAGGAAAATAATTGAAATGAAGATAAAAAATCCTATATCTTGAACATTTATTTGTAAATAAAATTCACAATGATGTCATTATGATCATTACTAATAATAATAACAACTCGTTATCGGTAATTAAAATGTTCGCTTTTTATTTCGTTCTCTTCTTATTAAATGAATTTGCAATGTGTAGTAAAATTGCAGATATACTATATAGACACTAAGCGATCTGCTATATTTTTTTTTCGTAGGAAAGAAGAAGTATATTTTTGATGCTTAGCAACGAGTATACGCCATATATTTTTTTTTTTTCTATTTCTATAATTTAACTGCATTTCAGGGGTCTTTATCTTTACCTGATAAAATATTAATAGCTAATACAGTTCATTCTTAAAAGGCACAAGTTTTTTCCTTCCTCTTCCCGCGACGAAAATTTATTTTGATCTTCCAGTTCGATCGTCAAATATATTCATCTTTTTTTTTACAACAATATTCATAATTATACAATCGATTTTTTAATACTTCATTTTGATTTATTATATATTGAAAATTTTATTCATTATTCTCAAAAGAAGAAAAAATGTTTTATAAATATTTTAACATGATTATTTTTTAACATGATCAAATTCTTTGATCATATGTTCTTTTTTTGAAATATATAGATATATGATAATGTGAATAAAATAATTACAATATGTCATATAAAAATAGTGAAAATATTATTATCATTGAATAAATCACTATAATAACAAAAAATATTTTAAATTAATTGAAAAATAAATATTCCAATACATATTTTATATTAAAATATTTTTATAAATTATCGATTTCTATTTATCAAATATATTGTAAATTAGAAAATGTTGTTTACAGTTTAATATTATTAATAAAAATATCTTCATATTCTAACTATAGTGTTTTACGAATATAACTGGAAGATCGTTTAAACAATACAACTATCTATATAATTTTTTAAAAATGAAACATTCGAACAGAATTAAAAATTGAAAGATTATGACTATATTATCTGTTCGAAATTTCATGGTACATAATATAAAAACAATTTGAGGCAAAAAAGAAAACAACAATATAGTAATCTAAAAAATATATAAAATACGAGATTGTATTTATTGTCAACAATAAATTACGACAAATAAATCTAAAATAAATAATAATAATAATTATTATTTTTGGCCTGTGAAAAGTGGTAAGAATAGTTATAGAATTATATCTTTTTCTTTATCGAAATAAAAATATTATAATCTTATTTACGTTTGTTATGTTATTAAGTTAACTTGCTTATGTTGTAATGATTTTATTTTATTACATTTTGTTTGTTCGTTAATTTGTATACGATAATTAATATAGATTTTGTGATGACATGTTTTAAATTTTTCGACAATTTCAATCATAGGCCAAAAATTTAAAATTATAAGCAAAAATGAAAATCAAAAGATCAATATTCAAAGTTTTAAAGAATACAAATATGTTCCGTATCGCATCATAATTGAAAATTTCATAATTGAAATTTTAAAGCCAAGTAGATTAGCTTAGAATATTTAATTATACGTAGCTATAACCCGTTGTAAGTGATTCTTTTTTATTAGTTTCTTTTTATTACGTCTAAAGATTTCAAATACTTTATTCAAGCTTGATTTGAAAATTTGCTTTATAATAAAAAAATCGTAGAATTATAGCGATTTTTGAAATTATTACGATTTTTCTTTTTTTTTCTTTTCTTTTTAAGAATTAAAAAATATTTTTGTTCTCTTAATATTTTTACCATGCATTAGAATCGTAATTTTTTTCAATGATTGCACGACACGGAACTTACTTATTTTAATTTTAGTTTCCCAATTAGAAAAATCTAAAAGTAAACTCGAATTTCGTAAATTGATCGAAAGTAATATGTTAATAATATAATTTCAATTATCAAAAAATGCTTCAAAGATAGTTTCATACCAGACATAAATAAATTACGTGTATTTTTTGTTATGACTAGAGTGCAGTCAGCAAGAATCATAGTAATTGATAGATCATATGTTTTAACAGCCTGTGTCCCATAAAGAGCTTAAAGTGTCGATTGGCCATTATATGTATATATATAATATTAACACTGTTCATATACACATGTGAACAGCTATTGTTGATCGAGCACCAATCTCAAAGTGAATTATATATATATATGTGTGTATCTTTAGTGATTTTATTTCCATTATTTTGATTCATCATTGGACATTGTTCGTTTAAGCGAGCGAACAAACATGGCTTTAAAGCGGAAATGCGCGCGTGTCATTGGTGCTCGTTGTGCGAACGCAGCGATCGATTGGATGATTTGAATATTCTTTTGTTATTTTTTAAAAATTTTTTTTAGAAAATTTCTATAAGTCCATGTCTTCTTGTTTGGCTTTGGGTGCGATTCTCTCGCCGCTATCGGACTCTTTGACGGAAACATGAACATCAGCTATTTCAACAGGTGGAGGAATCACTGGATTCACTGATCGATCCTCTTCAGCGACTTCAAAGCCAATCGTCGCGCCAATCTTCTGACTTGCCTGTCTGAATGAATCTGATAACATCACCTATAATGAAAGATTGATGAAAAATTATTAAAATATATATAAATATTCTAATTTTTACATCTACTATAATAGTTTATATTTTGTAAAATTATAGATTAATTAAATTAATATAAATTAGATTAAATATTATTATAGTGAATATAAATATTATATTAGAAATTATTATTATAGAAAAACAAAAATTATAAGTCAGAAAAGTATGTAGAAATTAAGTGTTATTAATGAAATATTTTTCGAAGAAGTTTGAAATTTTTCTCTTCTACAGATAATCTTCTCCATATTTGTAAAAAAAATTATATGTTAAATATATAATGATAAAACGTATTCTAATTTAATATAAATTGAAAATAATGATTTGAAAATTCGAAATCTTTTGAAATTTTATAAGATTTTTCTGAAATATAATATAGAAATAAATTTTAAGGAATCAAATTTAGAAAATCTTTTTATATAATATCCAATAAAGAAGGTAACAAATATAATTAGAGACAAGTTAATTAAAAATAAAAGATTTATACCTGTACAACATTGATGCACATAGACGTGAGGGCCAGGCCGAACACCAGGTATATTATCGAACCCATCATGTACACGGGATGCTAGATCAACCAACCAATCAATTTGTTAATTTGTGCATGTGTACTTGTCATTCTTCAAAATTTTTAATTTTCAATAAGAAAACACGTGCAATTGTGCTGAAGTGATATTTATGCAAAAAGCACGTACAGAATAATGTATATACGGTGTTGTACGATTTTTCGCATTATATGTATCTTTTTTTAGTTTGTCTATTTGTTGATGATGACCTTTTTGATTTTCAAAGCTTACCATCTGAACGCCACCGTGAAAGAAAGAAGCAAGAAAATAAGTTAATTATATGTTAACGACATGGCTTCACTATTCAAGAATTGTTGGGACAAGGGAACATTCCATCGGTCAGATACAAAGCGAACGCTAATTGCAAATGAAAATCGAAGAATAATATTCTTCTAAGAGAAACGTTTCGAATCAAATATTTTATATCGGATTAAAAAAAAGAAAGATATATCACATGATGATAATTTTTAATAATTTAATAATTCTTCTTTATATATATATATAAGAAAATTAAAAATTTATTCAAAATCTTTAAGAAAGATATTTAAAACAAAAGAAAAAAGAAATATTGAAATAAGACATTAATTTTTTAAAAATTTGTGAATTTTTTCCTCTGATTTTATCAATTTCAGAAATATCAGGAAAATATCGATTGAAAATTTATATATGGCGTATCGAGAATCATGGTTAAAAAACAATTATTACATAATTATCTAAATTGATTAATAATTTTTTTTATATTTTTATATTCTTCAGTATTATATCTAATACATTGAAATAACTTATACCGGGTAAACTTGAAATAACATGAAATTGTAACATTTTCTATTACATTTATACAACTATGCTTACGTTGAAACTAGAATATTTAATTAAATAAATTTTCAATTTGTTTTTATTACACAACTAAACATTTTTAATTAAATTTTTACTCGAAAAAATATTCCAACAAACGTGTCTCTTTGAATTCATTCTCGCAACGAATGAATCTCTTCATCTAGGGGGAATAGATATGATTGGAGCAGGATGCAAAATACAAAACGACGATTAAAAACGTCGTTGAAGTGAATGAAAAAAAAAAAGAAGGTAAAGAAAAGATCACCTGTGGCACGTAATCGCCGAAACCTATAGTACTCATGGAGATGAAGACAAAATAGAAGCTCTCGAAGAAACCCCATTCTTCTGACCACCAGAATATAGCCGCGCCGATGAAGATGTAAACGACAAGGATAAAGATGGCAACAGAGATCGGCAAATTGAACTCGTCGTCGACAGCAAACGCTGACATTGCCGGTGTTTCAGGCGTATCAGGCACGTTTCCATCTAAGTTGAGAACAGTTTGAGATTGTTGTGCCTGTTTCTGCATTTCTTCAATGTCCTCTGGATTAATCTGCGAGGGCCTTTTAAACGTTGCTAGATCGTACACCAATTGCACGCCTTTCATTACCTCCTGTTCAGGTTAAGAAAAGTTTTATTCAGTGAAAAATGGAATTATAATATATTTTTCTGTCTTAAATTTCGTTATAAGTAACAGATTGTGGTGCGATAAAATTCGTTTTTAGATAAGCAGCTTTTTCTAATAACTTGTTTATTGTTATTTGTTTTAAAATGGATATTTGTAATTAAAATAAAAACTGTGAGGGTTGAGGATCTTGCAAGAAGAGGTGAGTATACCTATTTTTGATAATTTTTGACTTATTAGGCGCAATGTATTTCATTTAAATTGATTAATGAAAATAAAATTTTAAAAAATTACAGTAAAGATTTGTCGATGATTGTTAATTATAAAAAAATATATTTTTTTTAATATTAAGCAAAAACAATAATTTTAGCAATTTTTTAAATTTTCCTAAAATTACAAATAAATTTACTCTTATTTACAAGAAAATTATCAATTATATATTGATTTACAATTATATTATTCAGTTTTTCAAGAATTTTTTTAATAATATTTCTTCTTTCATGAAATTTATATTAAAAAAAAAAATGAGATTACATAATAATTACAAAATTAATAGCATTATTAATGAAAAATACACTAGAAATAATAGGAATAATAAATATAGTGATGAAATGTTATAAATAATATCAAAATTAATAAAGAAAGTAACAAATGAATGAAAATCAAAATCTACATAAAAATTATTCTTAAATCGATTTTTTAATATCTATTTCACAATTCTGATCTTTCTTTTCGTTACTAAATTTCTTACTTGGACAGGTACAGTTCGACGAACTTTCCGGCAACTTCCGGTATAGTAGAGCCTTCTCACGAACGCCCAAAGGAACTTGATACCACGTGTGAATAATTTGCCAAAATCAGCCAGTATTATCAGAAACATCGGAATCCCGAAGATAGCGTAAACTATTGTGATTGCTCTTCCGGTGTTGGTACTGGGTGAAATGTGGCCGTATCCTAAAATAACGTGAGAGAATTCGTAATTATAAAACGAATTGATAATAGTTGAAATATTGTAGTATGATTTATTTGTCAGCAAATAAGAATTGAAATTTTTAAACAGATTCGAATCTTCATTCGCATCTTCTATATTTCTATGGGACAAAAATAACCTAGATGATACTAAATATTGCGATGGCATTTGGTCTAACTTTAGCAATTTTAGCGGTACAATTTGGCGGTTGTTTGCTCGTCGTATTTTTCAATAATAGAATATTGTTTTGATACGGATTGTTTTAAGTAATTATTTTTTTTAAAAATTCTTTTTAAATAATCTTGATAAACGTTAAACGTTTTGTATATCAATTCGAGTTTCACATTGTTAATAAATTTTCGATCGATTGCAATTAATTTATTAGATCAAATGAAAAATTAAAATTAAAATTAAAAGATGGATAATAATTTAAATATGAAAAATATGATTCATAAATTTGTTTCTTTTTAAATATTAAATATTATAATATTAAATATTCATAAATATTCACAATTTATTATGAATATTCATATTGCATTTTATAATTTTTTAGTTTTAATCGAATTTAATTAGACGTTGGATAAATTATATTATGCAAATTCAAGATCGCTTTTGTTCTCAAAATTAAATTTTCGATCATTCAAAATTAGTAATGAATAATGATATAAACATAAAAGATAAATTACAAAATTGCTTTTTTTATTAAATATCCTATTTATCATCAATTTTATTTGAATTTATTATTGTTAATTATCAATTTTAATTTATACACGTGTCATTAGACTAAATTAAAAAGAATGCAAATGTTAAATTCTTAAAAATCTAATATTCTTTTTAAATTATTAATTCGTTATTAATACTAATTAATAATAATCATCTCGTGTCATCAAATCATCTGAAAATTCAATATTCTCGCGTAAACAGCGCATCGAGAAATCGGAAAATTATTTTAAATTTTATCAATTTTACATATTTTCACAACTACTATCGAACGCGTGCGCACTCAGCTTTTGACAAATATCAAGTACCACACTATCGTCAACATAACTATATTCACTACTCGGAAAATCAATACGGAACTCGTAAAACGTTTTACGACTCAATCATATCACCTCACTTCATCATATATCAAACTCTTTCATCTCTCTTTCTATCCCTCACATATCTCTTCTATACCGATATTTCTCACCGATGGTGGTTATGACGGTCAGACAGTAAACAACGGCGTTCAAAAAGCTCCAACTTCTTTGCCCGCTGTACGTGTGAACTCCCGCCTCGTGGGCCGTGTGCAATTGCTCCTCAAACTCCATCAACTTCCGCCGAGCCATGCTCTTCCAGTCATCCTCCTTCAAATTGTGACTGTAGTTCCACAAAGTGTCCAAGAAGTCACGTTTCACTCGTTTCACACCGCATTTGTAAAAGGTCTCGAATGCCCCCTCGGTGAATCGGAAGACGAACGCGCCCAAACCGCAATAGATCATCACCAACATCAACTCTGACAAGCAACGATTCCTCAATCTCCTCACAATTTGTGTCTCCTTGGGATTTTGCTCCACGAATGCTTTAAACTCGGCAACTACATCCTTCAGTGCCCTCAGAAAGTCCATCAAAGTGACTTTCGTTGGTTGGTCCGTAATTAATTTCTTGAATTTCGTCTGTACTTTCTTCGACGTCTCTTCGATATCCGAAATCTTCTTTGGTTCTCTTTCATCCCTCTTATTCTCTGGTTCTTTTTCTTCTATTTTCTTACCGAAGAAAGGAAGCCAGGAGAACCAGGAGGACCTCTTCCTCTTGTTCTCGGATTCTTTCAATTTTTCGATCGACTTCTCGATAGCAATTTCCTCGCTTTCTGTGAGCGGCGTGCTGAATTTCCTTCTTCTCAGTATCGTTTCTTGAGCATCTTCGAACACGTCTGGGGTATCAGGATCAAGGATACTTTGTTCTCTTTTCAAATACTCTTCTTGAGCCTTGGCAAAGTCTTGTATGAGGCTGTCGTTGCTCAAAGGGATTATCTGTTTCTTCGCGTCCGAGCTGGATCTCTTCATGATCATTTCCGTTCCCTGCCGAGGGAACGACTCGCTTTTCTTTATTTTACGATCCTCGTCGGTGTCGTCAGTTTGACTGTACAATCTGGATCGTCTCCTCTCCGGTTTCACTTGAACGTCTTCCTCGAGCTTTTGTCTACTCGATTTCTTTTCCCTCGGAGGCTTCTCGATTACGTGTCTTGTTGCAACATCAAGATCACCACTGCTGGTCTTCTTCGACACTGTTCTCTTCGTCTTAATCTTTCCCACTTCCGGTGACTTCGTTCTCCTTGGATGCCTCTCTATTTCCTCCATATCACTGGAATCACTCGACTGACCATGCCTCTCCAATCGTTCCCTCGATTTTTTCTTCAATCTTCTCTCCACCTTCCTAGGTTCAACCGGTTGATCGACATCACCGTCAATTTCTTTCGATTTAGGTATAGCATCTTTGTACTTCTCCTTTTCGATAACTTCGCTAACTCCCGATTCTTCTTTCGATACACAATCCTCGTATTTTTCCTTCACGATAACCTCAACAACCGTCGACTCTTCTTTCACTGGATTTCCGTTATCAACTTTACTGACCACTTCCTTCTTTATCGACCGAGCACTTGCCTCGTCTTTAGCGTCACTTTCACGTGTTTGCAATTCTTTCGAAGGAGAACTCTCGTCCATCTTTCGTAACGTATCACGTTCCACGACTTTCGACGGACTTCTCTTCTTTTTCTCCTCTATCCTCGGTTCCAGTTCGTTCCTAACCTTTGCGTCCTCGTCCAATTCCAACCGCTCGGCATCCTCCGCCATCTGTATCATTCTGGCGCGTCTCGCTTCCTCCTCGTCGTCGGAGGTCTCGACCAGCTGTTGGTTCCTCGACGACGGATCAGGTGTCTTTTCCCGCCTTCTCGCTGCCGCCTTGCGTCGCCTGTGCACCGTGTAACTGTCCTCCATGGCGGGATGGACGATCGTGAAGGATCGTTAATCGCGATGTCGGACACTGGTGCACGGACACTGTGACCGAACGACGCGAAAACTGCACACGATTGCGTCTGTTGGCCCCCGGTGCAGACGGACACCGAGACAGAAATAAAACAGAGGCTGCTCCCACCACACAGCAGTCTGTTACCAGCGGAACCAGATGGTTTTGCCGCAGCGGGTATCGAGCGAAGCTGGCACGCGAATCGCGCGCAACGAGAGGCCAACCACGATGCCGGCCCTGCAGCAACTGCAACCCGTTCAACGGCCCGCGGTATTCGGCAACCCGACCTGCAATCGGTTATTACCACCACTCTTTCGAATTTTCGAGCGTTATGCGGCTCTTTACCGTTTCAAGGCTATTTTGACGCATCACATTTCGTGATCCATTATTATTTCGTTTCGGAATTATAAGAAGTTGTGGCTGGTTTAGAGCAATTTTATTTTTTATTATTATTAATTATATTATTTTTTATTATTTTTAATTAGTTAACGGATAAGTTGTTTACATTATATTATGTTAATTATAAATAAATTTTTATGCTATGCGATTCTTTCTTTCGTTTCCAAAGATTGATTACATTCCATTGAGAATTTTAAGAAATCCTGTTTAGTGTACTCTTATTATTTTATGAAATAAATAAATGAACTTTTAGGATAATGTTTTGATCGCCTATGCGATTCTTTATTTTTCAATACTGCTTTGGAAGATAGATAATTATTAAGAAATTATAAATTAATATGTGTCTTTTTATTTTTATGACACATGTATAGATATACAATAAGTTTTAACAAATAACAAGTGATGATTTTGTGACTATGAAATATAATTTGTTACTCGTAAATAATTTTTTTTTTTAAATATATTTCGCTCATGAATGCTATGCGATTTTTTCTTTTTTGAATTTAGAACAGATTCCTTTCAATCTGAGTCGCGAAACGGTTGATGTCTGAGCCATTTGAAACTGTTCTTTTGAACTGCTTAAATTTTCTACAATTTTATTTATTTAATGATTTCTTGAGTGAAGATTTTACGTGTAAAAAATAATTAGTTAATCGTAAGTAAATTTTTAATTATTAGTTATTAATTATTCAAAAAATAATGAAAATATACACGAAAATATAATAAATAAATATCACAAATAAATAACATTACTTTTTTACATACAAGAATGTAATTTTTAATTTAATAATTTAATAATTTAATAATTTTATAATTTCTATGAAATATATTTTTATGTAAGTATAAAAGTATGATAGAAATATATATATAATGTAATGATAGAAGAATAATACTTTTTCGAGATACAAGAATCTAAATCAAATTCTCTACTACTATCCTCAAATTTTTGATCACCAGTTTTACCATTTTTCTCTCATCTGAATTTCTAACCCACTTTACACAATTTTTCATATCGCAGATGAATATTTTATTCGATTTATTTAAATCAAAAATTATTTGATATTCTTGAATAACTTAACTTTGTTTTAGTTCTTTTTTTTTTATTCGAAAATTTGAATTTTATTCGAATAAAACCCCATTCCAAATCTGTGTAGAATGTTGTAATGTAGTTATAGAAGGTTTTTCTTAAAGAAAAATTTAAGATATGCAGATGCAATACACAACTTAATATACAATAATTTAATAAAATTATTATTTAATATATTGATTATTATATGAATTATCAGTAATCAGAAATTATTTAAAAATTAAATTAATTAAACGTAATATATTTATGTAGAAGGACTTGATCTTTTAATAGCAAGAAATGTTTAATATTTATTCCAGAGGAAGCAATTTGTACAAAGATAAAATAGGAAATCGTTTATACAAAATGATTGTTCAAAGTTTTCTTCGAAGTTTCACGATTCTCATAGTTCTTGAAACTTATTCGCTTACTTGGGATATTATCAATATTAGCTTCTTAACGTTTGCTATATTTTTTAATCACATAAATCCAACTAAAATTACAAAGTATTATCCTAATAATTTTTATAAATCAGATCATAAAAGTTTTTAAATGATGAGTTTAAAACAAATTTATTCTGAGCCCTTTTGAACAAAATCTTCATGAATTTTACAGCATGATGTTTTAATTTTTTCAAGAAGTATTCCAGTTACTCTAATCATATGACAAATGTAAAATTTTATTGAACGAATAGAATATTTTTGAAAACCGTTTCAATTAGATATTAAAAAATGAATAATAAATTTGATACAGAGAAATATTAAATAAGATTCTTTATAAACAATTCAATCATAATCTAATCTAAATATTTTAAAATTCTTAATTTATAAAATGATAGAAAATTATATAATATTAAAACAATTTTTCTTAACAAGTTTTTAATAAATAAAAGATAGAAATAGATAGATATTTCTAAAACTTAATTAAAAGTGATGAGTTTTGCAACAAATGCAGTATTAAAAATGAAATATTATCTTTTAAACAACATTTTCATTAAAATCAATGTTATGTATCTTTTTTGAAAATAATTATCAATTTAATTTTAATCAATTATATTAGTAACTTTTAACTTATTTACAAGCGTTTCTAAAATACTATATAATAGAATCTGATTCAAGAAGAAGAATCAGAAATAGAATAATTTGAAAATATAATAATTCAAAAATTACATTTTTATACAATATTCCTAATAATCATGTAATTTTTTAAATAATCAAATGTTAATTATATATTTTTATTATAAATATAGCTAAAATTAAGATTTTTTTTTAAATATAAAATTAATTCAATTAATCAATTAATAATTCAATAATTAATAAAATTAATTGAAATTAATCTTCGCAGAAATCAAGATGTTATAACAATACTTTCATCCATTAATTAACGAAAGATACAAATATGATATTTCAATGAAATGCTACTTTTCAATCTTTGTTCTTTCCATCTTTACTTTACACTTTTCAGAATCAAATACATCAATCTTAATATCAATTTGTCATTCGTTTATTTTCGTATTCTTTCACCTTCTATTTCATAGTTTCCTCATCATTCATCTATTTAGAGAAGTTTTATTTTAGAATGAAAGAAGAAAAATCTTTTTTCGTAAAATTTTAATATTAAGATAAGATTTAAATTTTTTTCGTTTAAACAATATTTCTGTTAACGAACAAAGTTTTTTCTCTGGTTACTTTGCTTTGAGATTGATTTCTGTATTTAAAAGAATTCCATTATTTTCCACTTTTCTTTTTTATAATATGATATTCATACTTATAATATAATCTTCTTTCATTTGTATTCTTTCAATTATACTTTATATTTATCGTTTTCTAGTGAGAGAAAAAACTTTCTTTATCTCATTTATCATCGAGTAATTAAAAAGAGGAGGGATGTATCTTATGCTTCTATATTAAAATGTTTGAGAAGGAATGAATAAATAATGTGGCAAAATAAAATGTAAAATTTTTTTCTGATTATAATAACAAATAACAAACGAAAAATTCTATATTTCCATAATAATATTTGCATTGTTAAAATCTAAATTTGATTAACAAATTTGTTATTTTGAAGTATTATACAAATTATAATTAATACTGCTATTTAAAAATTATCATTGTTTTTATTGATTTTATAAATTTTTGATTCAATCATTTTCAGAAATTTAACTTTTATTTTTTGCAAATAATATTTTGATAAAATGTATAGATAATTTTGGATGAACAAATTTGCACTAAATTTACATTATTATACATACTAAATACATTAAAGGATAGCATTATTTCACAAATGTATATTTTTATTTGGAAACATTATTTTATGATGTAAAATTGAATGTATAAAAGAAAAATTGATGATGTAATAAAAATAAGAATTAAAAAGTTAAAAGAATATATTTAAGAATATGAAAAACTAAAAATATGCATTCTCAATTTGAAAGATTTCACATGATTAAAAAATAATCATATGATTCTAATTTTTATAACACACTTTTATAATTTAAGATAAATAAAATTACATTGGATATACTAATAATTAAATATAATTGGATTACTATTAATATTCTCAGCAATTATTTGAGAAGTTAAGAATTATAATAATATAAGTCACACAAATTACTTAAAGATATTCGTATTTAAAAGGAAAATAATTTTCTTAAATTAAAAATTATTATATAAAGTTAAAATGACAGTATAGTTCCATTTATTAGTTATGAATTTTATATCATTATATTTTCTTGTGTTTCGAAAGTTTCGAATCATAAAAATTTCGAGAATTTGTATCGAGAATCTTAAAATCTTTGAGATTTCAAAATTTTTCGAACTTTAAACTCTAAACAGAATTTCTTTGAAAAAAAAGAAAGAAAAAACTTTTTTAAAAAATTTAAACAGAAAAAGGGCTTTGATATTTTTTTAATATCATTGATATTAAAAGAATAAAAAGAAAGAAGAAAATGTTTTTCTTCTGAAAAATTAACGCGTTTGTGTGTTTAATCCGTCGACTAGTTTTAATTCTCCTACGTAAATCGTCCTATCTTAAAACCAGCGAGCTCGTCATCTAAATTCAACTTGAGATCGATTTAATGCTTCGTCAAATGCTCCTTATCGATCCAATTTTTCTCGTGCATTTTAACATGGAAACCTCTCAGCTTCATTTCACTTTATCCCTTTCTCTTTTTTCCCTGTTTTAATAGCACTTCCATCTTTTTAATTCTACGTTCCTTTTTTATAACACGGACTCGATTCAAATACATTCTGCATTTTTACAAACAGAGAGAAAAATGGTTAAAATGGAGATCGAAAGTTAAAAGAGAGGAAAATGGAATTTTAGAGAAAGTACGCATGATACTTATAGTAAAGAGTATGTATATATATAAAATGCTATATTAAAATGAAATGAAAATATAGTTTTGATTTTATACTAATTAATTTATAGCGTTTTAAATTTTTTAAAATCTTTTGAAATTCTACATCAAATTAGTGTCGATGCTTCAAACTTTTTTATTATTTGTTTTACCTTACAAAAATGTATGGATTTTTAAAAAATATTTTTATTAAAAATGAGAAAAAAGAAAAAAGATCCATCGAAATTTCAATTTTTATTCTATTGAACCATGCGTCTCCGTGATTCAGAAACGTCGTGCAATTTTGTCTCTCGTTCCAAACAAAAGTGAAAACAATATAAATCTCCGGTGAAAGTAAATATTTTCAGGGACAATTAAGATATTTTCGTTTCAGCGAACAGTGCTCGGCAATGGGAAAACACGAGGGCGCAATTTCTAATTCAAAGAGCACCAATTCACCGACATTGCAATTTCCTTTTGTTCCTATGTATATCTAGGCGAATGCGACTCGAGGCCAGGACTTTTCATCGTCTG